ATAGGTAAGCCTGTCTTTTTCCTCCTGGCTTGGAGGTTCTTGGTTTGGAGTTGCCACTGCAAAAGGATGTGACTTTTAGGAATGCTGTGAATCATCCCAAACCTGGTGTCAGCACAGGTCAAAATGTAGCCTGAAAGACATCCCACATCCTATGGAGTTTATTAAGAACAGATGAGAGTTAGAAACTCACCTGGGCAATTCCAGCAAATCCTTTCAAACATTGCTGTGGTGTTTGTTTTCAGATGAAATAGGGCTTGATTCCTACCAGAAAGCTGGACTGGGATGCTGAGGCTGTTGGGGCTGGGGGTACATGCTGTGCTCACCCCCACAGCTTTGCTCACTCCTTGGGATTTGCTCTGTGGTGTTTAGAGGCAATGATAAACATCCTGGTGGCTCTGCCAGTGAGTAACCCTTGTGACAAATCATTCTGGGTTTTTGGGATCAAGATGGAGCCAGGCTCGTTGCAGAGGGAAGGGCAGAAGGCCATAGGGATTGATGTGGGAAATGCTGGCTGGACATAGGGAAAAGCTTCCCCAGGAGGGTGGTGCAGTCCTGGGACAGGGTCTGGAGAGGTGGTGGCACCTCTGTCCTTGGAGGTTTTCAAAAGGACAGGGGGAGATGCTGAGTGACCCCCTGGAGCCTTGCAGCCAGTTCTGCTCAGAGCAGGAGCCTGGGCTGAGACCTCCAGAGGTCCTCCCAACCTCACTGATCCATGCTGCAGCTTCTGCAAGGCAGTTCCTCCTGCAAAGCAGCCACCAGCTCGAGGAGGGGGTGAGTCAGGACCTGAGGAACACCAGCTCCCAGGTGCTGGCTGGAGGGGAAGGGCTGTGTCTGGGCAGGGGCAGAGGGAGTCCAGTAGCTCTGTTCCCTCCTTCCTCCAGGGAATGGACAGTCACCATCCCGCATGAACCTCCTTCTGCAGCCACAGGCTGTGCTCTCTCTTCTCCCAAAGAATCGTCTCATGGACCAAGCCATCACCTCCAGAAGTGGCTGTGGGCAGGGATGGCAGGATGGAGCCCTTGGCTGTACACTGGATCACCTGAGCCCAGCAAAGTGGAGCAGCAACAACCCAGCACTGCGTGGGCATCCCTGGGGCTGTGCCCAGCAGAAGGCCCATGAGTGACTGCTGGTTTTGCCAGTCCTGCTGGTTCCTGACACTCTGCTCATCCTGGCCAGCTGTCCCAGCCCTGGAGGGGACGAGGCAGGAGAGGGAATGGCCAGCTGTGTCACGGCAGAGCTGGTGGTCTGATGGTCACAGAGTGCTGTGTCCTGCCGTGGGCAGGACACGTGGGCTCAGGGTGACACAGCCAGGTGAGACCATCCTGCTGCCAGCCACAGGGGCTGATAGAGCCTGGGGAGGGAAGAGGAGAGATGGAGAGGGACACAGGAGCTTAGTTTTTATGGTAAGGAGTCATAAGAAAGAAAAAACCAACTCATAAAATCTACATATGCAAATTAATCACCCGAAGCATCTACTCCCTGAGGTGTTCCTGCTGCAATCCCTCCTGCAGCCATGTGCTGAGCTGGGCTGGGGCTGCTGGACCAGGTGAGCTGGGCACACAGAGCACAGATGGATATGTGGAATTACCTCCATGCCCAGCTCCTGCCACACACCATGGGCTCAGGGCGGGTTCCTTGGCTGCAGGAGGAAGGGCTGGGGGGGCAAGGAGCAGCTGTGTCAGCTCCAGACTGGCCACAGGGGCCTTTGCCTGGCTGGACTCTGTTCTGTGCATCCATTGCAAGACTTTTCCAGGCAGCCATCACCATGGTAACGCTGGAAATGGTGCTGGTTCAGGTCAGTCAGAGCACTCACAAACACAGAAAATGGCATTTCTGAGACAGGAGCCGGGCTCTGCTCCCACAGGCTTTGGGTACCCAGGGATGGGGCTGCACCATCCTTGCACCCTGGTGCTCGCTGGGATGTGTCCCCCGAGCTGGAGTGAAAGGTGGTGGAGGGAGCACGTGGGACAGGAGATGCTGGGGAAAAGGGAGCAGCACAAAGTGGGCTTCTCCAGCAGCGCTCTGGGCGTGTCTGCTCCATGTCAGGAGGACAGCTCAGCTTGCTGCTCTACAGCCAGGCTGGGTTTTTCCCTGTGTGCCTTTTTAAAGGCTGGACTCTGCTGTTTAACCCCCTGGACAGTCCTGTAAGCTGCTTTTGAGCTCCTCCTGGCCAGCCTTTACACTGTCCTGAGGAACCAGAGATCCTCAGCAAACCCAGCCACCTCCTCTTTCCCAGCTGTTCCAGAGCCCTTGGGGCTGCCCTGCCCTTCCCACCACTGGAGGATGCCCACTTTGTGCTTCAACCAGGTATTTATTCCCATGGGCACTTGCCCACACATTCCAAGGCACCTTAATTTCCCTGACAGCCCTTGATATGGACCCATCCTGCATGTGCTAGGAGACCCAAGTGGATTTTCCTAGCTGAGTCCAGCAGGATGTGAGGTGACTGCCCACATAGTCCATCACTATCCATATGTCCACTGTTTTTTTATTCCTCGTGATTTGTCCCTGCAGTTCCAAGGCTGGGCAAAGATCTGACTTCAATTAAATCCTCCTCCTAAAAGCCATGCAAGGATTTGGGAACTTTTAAGGGGTGGAAAGTTACTCCTAACTTCAAGCTGGCCTTGCTCCAGCTTTGGGAATGGAGCCTTGTCACACTCTGCTCCCAGTGCAGGGCTTCTCCATACCTGGGATTTTCTCCTCTTTCTCACACTTTAACCTCTCAGTCTATTTAACACTGAACTTCACGTCTTGCTGTGAGGCTTTTCCTCTAGAAATCAACAGCTTTTGCTTTTTCTTTTTACAGCAGTTCTCTACCACTGATTTAAAGCATGGGACCTGTGTGCCAGCACCAAAAATTGGGGGAAATCTCCTTGGATGCAGGCACTGGGATAGCAGGTTTCCACCCAGCCAGGTGGTCCCGGGATGTGCAGATCCAGAAGTGCAGAGGTGGAAAATCACCTGCACCCAGATCTGCTTGCCCTGCTGAGCTCCCCTCTCCTCTGTGAATGCCGTGTCACCTGTTACTGGTTTTCCCTTGTTTTCTGCATGATACACTGCAGAAAGAGGTGAATTAAGGCCTTTGCAGGGCTCTGTGGAAGTACTTTTGCTCAGGGAGTTTGTGGAGCCGCTCTCTGAGAGGAGGAGCAGGCGGTGGGTCCCTTGTGGAGGGACCAGGAGGGGACAGCAGTGATGGGAAAACAGGGAGGAGGGTGACAAGACCCTGGCGTGGGAGCTGGGCAGGGGGTGCATGTGGTAAAGCCGTGGTGGCTGTGGCTAAAACCGTGCTGGCTCGGAGCCGTTGAGCCGGGAGTTGCCATGGCAACGGCTGGAGGATGCTCGGAGGGCTCTGCCGCCATGGCCGGGCCTTGGTCCCAGCCCCAAGCACAGGTGAGGCTCCCCTTGCTGGGAGGCTGCAGGTACCTGGGGAGGCACCAGCTTGTGCTCAGCAGAGAGGGAGCAATCCCCTTTCAGCCAAGCCCCGAAGCACCTGACAGAGGAGCTGCCTTTAACAGAGAGAGAAAACACAAGCAGGAGAGCAGCCCCAGGCAGGGCGGGACCCACAGCCCGTCAGCAGCCCTTGGGCCGTGCTGAGGGTCCCGTCCCTGATTCCCAAACCTGCCCCCCGTGCCTGGCAGAGCCTGGAGAGCCAGCTCCTGGCTCAGAGTGCAGCTGGAGCTGTGACACCGTCCCTGGTGTGGCTGCAGGTTATGGACCCACTCGCTGCTTCGCTGCCCTGCAGTTACCCTGCAGTTACCCGGGCGCTGCAGTGCTTGGCTGGGTCGGGGCTGGAATGTTTGTTTGAGCTGAGCCTTCCCAGCCACTCGGAGCGGGCTGCTGGCCCGAGCGTGGGTGGCGAGAGCCTTTGTGCCTCCTTTTGCTTTGTGCCTTTGTGCCTCCTTTTGCTTGCCCTGGCCCCAGGTGGGCTGTTTGCCCCAGGACCAGCTGTGTTGGCAGTGCCTGCTCCAGCCACCAGCCAGCCCCTTTCCCCAGCCTGTCCCGCTTCCCCGGAAGCCTTTGGTGACTGCACTGTCACCAGCACTTTGCACAATTGTGGGCATCATTCGTTGCTGCTGCCACCTCCCAAGCTGGCTGCTCTTAGGAGACAGACTTCCCTTTAAAATCATCCCAGTTTCCCAGGTTGGGGGTATTTACTCAGGTTCCCAAAAAGCCTGTTTCCAGGAGCATCTCTGCCAACTCTCTGGCACAGCTGTTGGAGATAGTGACCTGCCCTTTCCAAGGTCTTCTTGGAATATGTGAAATTTATTATTGCATCTGCCAGGCTCTAAACAGCCCTTTCTGGGAGTGAGTAGGTTGGGCTGTCTGAGGATTCACACACCAGTTCCTCACACCAGAAGCCCTGGAGATGCCTCCTAGCCCTGTGGCTCCCTGCTGCTCCCTTCACAGCTGGGTTCATCTTGTCATCTGTGGGTCACCTCTGTCTCCTCTCTGCTCCCCAGGAGGGGAATCCCCCAGTTCTCCCACCAAAGTAAGGAGCTTGGGCAACATATCCCAGTGCTCCTCCTGCTGCTGCCTTGATGGATTCCTCCCTCTTGATGGCTGTGAGGAGGGAATGGGAAGATGACCTTGGACCTCAAGCCCACTCTGCTCCTCACTCACTTTGTTGCCCACAAGCTGTCCATTTTCCCCAGACCTCTCCAGCCTTTAGATTCCCCCTCAGATCCTTTGGTCCCCATTTTCCTGGAATTGCTGTTCCATGCCAGTGACAACCAATGGGAGCAGAAACATCCTGTGTGTCCTGTGTGGGTGTTCCAGCTGGTGAGGCTGGGCTGGGCTGTTTGCTCTTCCCTGGCTGCAGCATCCATCCCTGGACCATGAGGGTGGAGCCAGGACCCTGTGCCCATCTGCAGGACCCACCCAGCCGTGAGCACAAACCTATGTCCACACTCACAGGTCTGGTGACAAGCCCTGTGTGTATCCCTCTGTCCAGCATCGTTAACACCCTCCAGAGTAACAAGAGGCTCCATGTCTTGCAGACCCAGCTCGGAATGGCTCAACATGAAGACACAGTTCTGGGATGAGCACGGCCAGGACCACACTTCCTCATCCTGGCCAGCACTGCCAGAAGATCCCACAGAACCAGGGAAAGGCCTGGCTGAGCCAGGCAGTGTTGGTTCCCTGGCAGGAATCCCTCTTGCTGTGAACAGGAAGGAGGGAAGAGGCGATGGAGGAACTGTCCTGGCTCTTGGAATGAACCAGTGTGGAATCCCTATGGGAGACAGAAGAAGTGGCTGGTAGGGCATTGTGCCACTCCTTGAAGGAGGAAGATGGTGATGGCTGATGGTGATGAGGTGTGATGGTGCAGGAAAGCCCCAGCGAAGAGGCATTGTGCAATGGGAGCAATGGGAAAGGCTGGCCAAGGGAGGCACCACGTTCTGCAACAGCCTTCAAAGAGTTTCCCTAAGTGTTGCTGCTCTTCAAGGCTTCCTCCTCCAAGAAAAAAAAAAAAAGTAGGGAAAAAAGGAGATGAGGAAGAGCAATCTCTGGGTGTGGGATGAAAGAGGCCTGTCTTGACTATTTACCCAGCAATTATAAGTAAATCGGTGGTGCCTAACGGGGCCGGTTGCCATAGTGACGATGGGATGGAAGGACCAGCACTTGGTCCTGGCTGCAGCCAATCAGGCTGGGAAGCCCAAGCTGCAATATAAAGTAAAGATTCCCATCTTCCAGCCACGCACTTGCCAAGAAAGGGAAATAGGTTCAAGAGTCTGGGGAAAAAAAGTGCTGCGGCCGGCGGCAACCAGGGCGGCTGCTCCCGTCATGGCGGACTGCGAACGCCCGGGCAGGTGAGAATCCCAACTCTCCCCATCTCCCGCTCATTGTTCTCCCGCGCCGCGGTCGCTCCGCCGCCCCACCCCACCCACGCCGCCGCCCCGACCCCCTCGCCCCGGCACCCACAATGGAACCCCCCTTCGGGCGGGAGACAAAGAGAGGCGGGTGGAGAAAGGCTCCACCATTCTCCCCAAATTGCCATCGTAGGCCTTTCAAATCAAATTTCGCAAAGCAGCTTCATCAAAGGCCCCCGGCTGAGAGGCACGAGCCCCATATTCCTGCCCCCCCCCCCCGGCAGGTCTGGGGTGGCGCGGTGATCCCATACAAAAGTCGGCACCGCTCCAGAAGTGTCTTTGCAAAAAAAGAGGAAAAAAAAAAAAAAAGAAAAAAGGGGGGGGGAAAAAGGGGGGGATATGGAGATAAAAAACGCAAGCGAGAAAGAGCGGCGCCTAAATTGCTCGTCGTCTCCCCATCTCATTACTGGCGACTTCTGAGGACGGGTATTTCCAAAGGCTGCGATGAAAGACTTGTGAATGGAGCCCCCCCTGGATGAGATCAAAGCCCGAGGCTGGGACGCCAGGGTGTGCCGGAGGAGGGGGCGAGCGACGGCAGCGCCGCAGGATGCTGGGGGGAGCCTTCCTCCCCTGCTGCCACTGCCCTCCATGTTTCCCGGTGTCGCTGCCGCCGCTGCCTGACCCATCTTGCAATGGAGACCACGGACAGCGGCCAGATCCCAACGGCTGAAACCGAGATGAGCAAACTCTGTTGGCTCACAGTTCGGCAACTCTCCCAAAATTCATGGTTAATAAAGGAGCTTATCCCATCCGGGACCTCTCCGGGCACCTCGAATTGCAGATGAGCGGGTGGCTTCCCCACCGCTTGAGCCCACTCCTTGGGTCTCTTCTCTCCCCACGCCGCGGCATCGCCAGCCTGGTGAGCCACCAGCAGAAGGGCCGAGGACAAAGGCAGGAGGACAGAAGTTGTGCCACTTTCCCTTCCCGCTGCCTTCAAACACGGGCTGTTTTCTTCCTGCTCGGCGACAAATTCGGCTCCGGGCGGCGTTCCCACCACCAGCACCACCGGCAGCCGGGCGCCCCATCGGCGGCACGGAGAGCAAACTCACAGATGGTAAAATAAGAGAGTCGTGTAGGGTTCAAAGAGACCTTCTATGTCAATTGTTATATTATTAGGTAAACTCCAAGAAGAAAATCTTTTAATCCACTGTGGCTAATCCAGTCCACTTTTGTTGGCCAGGACATATTCAGCATCAACAAAAGGCTCTGGCCGACGGACACCGGCATACATAATGTATTGATAACTGCGGGAGCCGGCTCGGCGGCAGAAAGAGCCACTGCCCGGGCCGGCAGCGGGGGCCGGGAGGAGGATTTGCCCGACTTTTATCAGTTTTATTTTCATTTCAAAGAACCCGGCTGATATTTGCACTGCGCCGCTTTCCAGGGGAGCACAAAGAGGGCAGGGATGTTCCCAGCTCCGGCCGGCCCTGAAACCCCAGCAGGACCCCACTGGGACTCTCACTCCTCGCCTCCTCCCCGGGGCAGCGATGGCTGCAAGGCCAGGTTTGTCCCAGGCCCGGTTTTGGGGTGATGGTTCCCACGGGGAGTTGGCAGCTGGGGCGGCTCCCCCCAAATCAGCCATCCTGGGCTGGCACAGTCCCCTGCAACTTACCCCGGGAAGATGCTGTTGCCCTGGGATGGAGGGAATCACCTTCCATAAGGACATGGGATACAACTGATGAGGGAACAGAACTGCCTGCACTGCAAAGGGCCGGTGCCACCGGGGAGAAGTGAAGAGTGGAGCCTGGGTAGACCTTGTCCTCCAAACACGGAGCAGCAGAGACCGGAGCTGAGGAACCCGGAAAGGAAATAAAACCAACGGCAGCAGAGGGCAGGTGGGACGTGAGTGGGGATCACATGGCCACAGCCCGGCTGATGTGGGTGTTTGGGCAGCAGGAGGTGGGAGCTGGTGGGACTGAGCTGAGATGGGTTGAGGTGGCAGCTGTGGATGCTGGAGGTGAGCAGGGGACACTGGCCACCCACCCTCTGCAGGCTCTGGGAACAGCCTGTCCTGAGCAATGTCTGCCTGTCCCTGCTCCTCCCCCAGGGCAGAGCTGGGTGAGGGTCCACACCTTGTCCACAGCGGAGCAGGAGGGGACAGAGGGCCAGGTTGGGTCTGTGGTGTTTGAAAATGGCTGTGAAATATGTGGCTGGACAGGTGCTGGTGGCCATGGGATGAGGATGGGGCTGAGCCAGCAGGGAACTCTGCAGAGCAAGGAACTGTGGTCTCCGGCGGGGGTGAGCTCACTCAGGAGCCCATGGTCCTCCCAGGATGCCACTGAGTCCAAAATGCCCTTACTCCTGCTGCAGGAAGGTCATTCAAGGCCAGTGGCTCAGATGTAGCCATGAGGATCTTCAGTAAGACCATGGAAAAGAGACACAGCAATGGAAGGACCAAAAGGACTTGTTTCAAAGAGCCCAGAGGGCTTACCCAGGGTTTGGTCCTTGTGACAAGGGACAGCAGAGGGGAGGAGCCCCTCTCCTCAGGGAGGGGGATCACTGCCACCCCAGATGCTCTCTGAGGTGGGCACAGGGACCACCTGTGCCATTGGGATAGTGCTAACAGGGCACTGACAGGCATAAATGGCCCAGGGAGGAAATGGCCTCCAAGGGAATTTGGTTGTCACTGCAAGCCCTGGGTCGAGCACTTCTCCTCTTGCTGCACTCGCAGGTACTGGGAATCCTCCAGAACTCCTGTTCCCCTCCAGTGTGGTTAAAATGGCCAATGCCAGAAGCTTCTGCAGGGAATGGATGCACATACAGAGTGATTAAACACAAAGCTGGGAGTCACCAGCCCTGGACAGTCCATGAGACCCAACAAGGGATCCAAGGGGCAGGGGTCAGAGATGTGGATGCCACCTGTGAAGGAGCATCTTTTCTGAAGGCTGAAGTGCAGCGGGGGCTCACTGAACCTCACTGCCCAACCCAGCCCATTGCTCCAATCATTGCCAGGGCATCCTCAGAACTCCCAGCTGCTCCACATCCAGAGGTCTCCCCAGTACAGGAGCTGTCAGGCTAGACTGACACATGAGGAGAACAAACCACTCAGGAGACAGAGGGATGAGAATTCAGGCTGGAATATGCATTTCTATCAGGTAGAAGTTTCATGTGGAGCTGCAGAGGCTCTGGGCAGCTGTTGAATGCAAGACTAAGATAAATAGGCTGAGCTAAAGATGTTCAGTGCTGGAGATCTTCATTGGGAAAAGGGAGACATGGACCTCCTGGGTAGGCATTTCTGCTCCACATTCTATTGCAGGAGAAGGCTCAGGCTGGCTGGGATGGTTTGTGGCATTGACTGGGGTCTCGTGGGACACTGCCCACATGGTGGTCACCTCCAGACCATGGGCACTCACCCCACCTCATAGCCCTGGGAGGGCTGGAGAAGTGTGGGAGGACAAATCAAAGCCCATGTCAAGCTTCTCTGTGAGGTGTTCTCCATGACACAGCCTTGGCACACCGGGGAAGCTGCTGCCACAAGAAGATGCCAAGTCCAAGGTCTGGCAAGATTTGGTGTTGCACATCCGCTGCCATGTGTTTTCTCCTGCTTTGGCCCTCTGTTACTATAAAGGATCAGAATGAAAGACAACACGAGGCCAGACTTGCTTGCATTTGCCAGCCAAGGATTCTCTGGAGGCTGGTCACTCTGCCAGCCAACATCTGTCCATGGAAGGACTTCTGGCAAGAGATGCGTTAACAAGAGAGTGCCCAGCAGGACAGTCAAAGTGGGATCTATCCTTTGGGAGAACACCAGGAGAGCCCTGAGGTCAGACAAGTTGAGGCTGCAGGGATTGGGCTGCTGTCAGTTCCCACCACAGCGAAGAGGAGTTGCACAGGTTGGACACGGGTGGCACAAGCACGAGTGGCATGAGAAGGTTGGATATGAGATGGTGGCTCCAGCCCTGCAGAGCAGGGGAGTGGCAGGAGCCTCCATGTCCTGATGGAGACAAGGGCCAAAGGACTGGGAAGCAGCTTCTATGGAAGACAGCCCAAGGAGGAGACAGGACACTCAAAGCTTGAGACCCCTGCCCAGCCTGATGCTTACATCTCCAACGAGCAGTTCTTGCTACCTCCTCCCCAGAGAAGAAGAGGCCTGTGGGATGCTCATGATGACTACCCCAGTGACTTCCCTGCTCCCAGCAATCCTGTCCTGGAGAACACTTGGCTCTACTGTAGTTCCCCTGCTGGGAAAGGGAGGGGATTTTAGGAGAGAGGCAGCCTGGGGGTTCACACCCAGGGCAGAGAGCTGTCAAGTGATGAGCGCAGGGACAGTCCCAGAAGTGCCAGCAGAAGGGGACAGGGAATCCCAGGCTGACATCCAATGCCAGGACAGGTTGCCTTGGCTGTGGAGCAGGTCTTGGACCTTTCCAAAGAAAGAGACCCCCCACTTCTCCAAGTTTCGTCCCACAGTGAATGATCTTGTGAGCAATTTCTCCAGTTCTGAGTCAGGATGAGACCAACACTCTCCACATCTGTTCGCCTGATGTTAGAAAGCCTTGAGAAGAGTCAATGCCAAGATGATCTCCTGGGCTGGCTTGAGCTGGGACAGCTAAAGCAGCAGAAGAGTTTGAGGACTCTTCCCAAGTGCATGAGTAAATGGCTCTCACTGAGCACCCCCAGCTCATTAGTCGTGACTCTTCTCTGCAGAAGGAAGCAGGTAACCCCTGGGTCACGGCTGGGCTGGGTCCAGCACCCTGGCTTAGCTGGTCCGGACCTCAGCTGGTGTCCATCAGCACTGACTTTCCTGGCACTGTTCCACTCACACCACAGAGGAGGAACCCTGCAGAGAAACCTCCTTTCCTGGGGTGGTGCACCCTCAGGCAGGTCCCTGGGGGTGGAGGGGCTCCAGGACCTGCCCATGCTGCACCCTGGATGCCCTCACTGAGTGCTGGTGGCACAGCAGCACAGGGGTCCTGTCCCCCACCTCAGCTGGGAGGGCTGGCCATCGCTGGGGAGGTGGGCACAGGATGGTTGCTCTGTCCACATCGCAGGGGAGATGGCAAAGAACAGCAACCCAACCTGCAGCTGGGGCCTTTGGAGGAGCTGCTGGGACGTGGAAGACTGGGAAAAGGGTGCTGGAAGCTGGAGTCCCAGCAGGGGTAGGGAGCGATCTCAGAAGGGCTGTGGCTGTGTTACCAGAGAGCCAAAAGGGCAGAGGGGCTCTCAGAAGGGCCCTGCCAGGAGTAGGGGTCCCCCAGCTGGGGCTGGCTGGTCCCCCTGGCCGGGGCAGAGCTGATCCTGTGGTGCAGTGTGTCATGCCACAGAAGGGCCCAGTGAGGGCTCTGGTTGGCAGAGTGTGACCTCCTGCCTGACACGGGCAGCCAGCAGGAGCCCAGTACTGGCAATTAGCTGCCACCACTGGTAATTAGCTTCTGGCTACTGGGCTGCCTGGGCATGAGGAGTCAACACTTCCTCAAGGTATGGCATCGCTCAGAGGAGCATCTGGGGCATCTAATGCTCTGTCTTGAGGCTGAAAAAAATCATTCTGCAGGAGAAATAAGGGGTGAAAATGCCATGGGGCTTCTCTCAGCAGCTCTCAGTGTGATCACAGGGACCCTTTGCCCAGGTCTGGCTGGGGTTTGGACCTGAGCAAACCAGCCACAACCTCAGCTGCTGTTGTCACTTCATGGGCTGGGAGCTCTCCTAGTGAAGGACAATGGTGAGCTGAGACCTAAACTGTACCTGCCAGGCACATGTGCAGGTAAAATGATTTCTAGAGTTTGCCCTAGGTGCAAGGGAGTGTTTCTGAGATGTCCTCACAAGCCTCCCTGCACGAAGCAAGGCTGACCATAAACCCATGGGCCACTAGGTGGACTCACAGTAAACCAAAATTGAGGATAGAGAGCTCGCTGACCATTTTCCTCGCCTCTGGGAAGAGCCTTGTCAAAGCAGAGGCACTGAGAAACCAGCAGCATGTGTACAGCTGGCCACTGCCTGGTCACCAGAGGTTGAAAATTGGCCAAAATATGATCAACACGCCTTACTTGTCACAAAATGTTTCACCAACCCCCTGGGAGAGCTGACCCTCCAGGCAGGGTTGAGCCAGGAGCGTGGGGACCAGCACTTGCTCTCCAAGCTGATAGGATGGTATCCAAAGAGTCAGGCTGGAAGTCTGTGGGGCTGCAGGACAGAGCAGGCACTGCTGAGCACTGAGCTGGTTCTCATCAGCCAGGCTGGTGAACACATCTGAGCCAGGACACATAGCCCAGAGTTGCAAAAAAGACCTGTGAGAGCAAAACCAGCTGATATTTCTGCATTGCACCAGCCTTCCCCTCCCTCCCAGTAGCCTGGGTCGGGGTCACACACGGCTGGATAAAGGAGATCCATCTCTCCTAGCAGAACCAAGCAGGTTGAATTGTCATGGGCTGCCCTGGGATAACCCTGCCACAGGAACCAACTGTTTCCACGCAGCTGTCAATGATGTGAGGCACCAGTCAGACCCTGTGTTCCAACCCAGGGATGATGCCCACCATGCACCCACCTCATCCTGTCCTGCTGTGGGGACACCAGAGAACAGGGAGAGCAAGGAACGGCCCGGGCAGGGGGGTGGGTCCTGGCTCTGCAGCGGGGCTCAGGAACCAGGGACAGGGATGTCCCCCTGATACTGCTGCTCCCCCCCAGGACCATTTCAGTAGGGATAACCACTCCAGAGCCCCCACGCTCAGAGCAGATCAGAGCCCACTCCAGACATCTCCATCTCATGGAGGGCCAAGATATGAAGCGTGTCCTTCAGTACCATGGGAGTAGGACCCCCTCCTGTGAGTGGGGAACAAGAGGGTGTCCCTGCCTGGCCAGGCTCTCCTGCAAACATCTCCTGGGCAGGGTGGCCCCAGTAGGGATGAGCTGACATCTCTTCTCTCTGCAGAGTGGCACTGCTGGGACGTGCATGGACAGCATCCCACCCCTGGTCCCCGGAGAGGAGCAGCGAGCCTGGTGGTCCAGAGCATGGAGAGACAGGAGTGTGGGGCACAGACCCAGGGCAGACCCCAAAGGTGGGTGCAGGAAGGTGTGTGGGGTGTCACCGAGGGGGGTTCGCCTTCACTGGCTGGGGATGAAGAGCACTGAGCATGGGCAGTGCTGGTTGAGTGTGTGTGCAGTGCCTTTTGGCAGCCAAAAAGAGGGCTGGTCAAAACCAGGGGAGTCGTGGGGTCTTGGGTGCAGCAGGGTCTCAGATTTTGCAGGGGTCTGGCAGGGTCTCTGTTCTGCCAGACGTGGGAACCTTTCCCCAAAAGCAGCTCAGGGGCCAGGTGGGGAGAGTTGAGGGACACAACAAGGTCCTGGCACCCATGTCAGGTCATACTCTTCTCTTCTGTGCCACAGCCCGGGGCTGGGATGGGGCCCCAGGAGTTATCTGGGGTGGCTGGGACAGGAGTGAGAAGAGAAGCCTGTGTAATAAACTGGGCTCTGCTCAGCCAGGGCAGAGGAACACTGGCTGACATGGTTATTGGCTGGTACTGGTGTTACAGACGGTGCAAGGCAAGCAGAGGAGAGTGGCCATGGACTGCTGTGACTCTCCCTGCCTGGTCAGTCAGGAGGAGAAGGAGGATGGGGAAAGCTTTGACCAAAACTCCAGTCCTGAGCCCAAAACATGATGCTAGAGGTGGCTGATAGCCAGGAGAGGAGGTGGGGATGGTCTAAGGGCTGGTGGCAGGAGGGCCACAGGGTGCTGGGAGCGCATCCGGAGCAGCCTCCCAAGGCATGGCATGAGCTTATCCATACTCTTTTTTGGGGGAAACATCAAGTTTGGGGGCTCTGTAACCCACCAAGGAAAGGTAAAGCAGAGCTGGGGGAAGGAGGCTGATGCCAGGGCAGGCACAAGGAGAAACACCAAGCAGGAATGCTCCCAGAGCTGAAGGCAGAACAAGTCCCCATGCCAGGATGCCAGGACACTGCAGGGGCTCATGGTTATGTGCAGGGGCTTCCCTCTGCCACTTGGACATTTGCAACACCATGGGAAAATGCTGGCAGCTGCAAAAACCAGTTCAGACTGCTGCCTTAACTGATCCAGGCCCTCCTGCCCTTACATTCCTGGAAGGAGGCCACCCTAGCCAAGGGCTGGATTTTTTGATATTTTTGATGTGAGCAGCAAAGCCTTTGCCCCATCCACTTGCTCCAGCCCTGTACCTGGAGGGGGGAGAGCAGGGACCCCCAGCATATGCCAGTGAATTGCAAACAAGCACCCACATGGGAGTGAACTGGGAAAATGGGATGATTTTTCTGGAGGTGAGGGACCTGAGCCACCAGAGCAGCCAGGCCCTGCAGCCTTCCCATTGCCTGGAACAGCAGGCTCCATTGAGGACTTTATTAAAGAGCAGAGTCTGAGCTAAAAGACATAAGCTTGGTGTCCAAACAGTGCTTCATCCTTTTTGGCCAGCATTAGAAGCAGATCCAAGGCAAACTGACACGTCTGGGTGTGTTTGTCCCTTGGAGGTGGGGAATCCAAAGAAGGAGGCACACTCAGGCCTCCTGCAGGACCTGCACCACAGAGACTCAGAGAGCTGCTCTGGCTGCTCCATGGATGCTTTATGGGGCACCCAGCCAGGGTGGGGACATATCTTTAGTCCTGCAAGAAGGGATGCTGTGATGGTTGAAATCAGTATCAACCACTTCTACTCTTGTCTCAGCCCCTGGCACAGCTGTCTGTGGGCATCCTCACTGCCCACACAGGGATGTGCTCTATCCATCCCTTCCGGTGAGGCAGGAGCTGTCTTCCAGTTCCCAGCCTGGATGTACCCATGACCACTTCTCTGCTTTGTTCTCCTGCCAGCCATGTCCTGTGGCTCTACTTGCTCATTCTCTTGGCAGCAGTGCCAGTGAGCTGTGGGTGCCTCATCCCAGCTGAGCCCTTCAAGGATGCCCTTGGTTCCTGGCACCACAACATCAACACTTTTATCATGACTGCTAATACACTTCCTCCTGTTCTGCAACCATCATCTTGCCAGCAGTCCAAAAGAGAGCTGTCAGCCTCCTCTTCCACCCTGGGACATCTTTTTCTTGGCAGCCCCTTTGGCCACCGCTGGACATGTAGTCAAACCCCAGCTCCTGCCTCAGAACTGAGAGTGCTCCCTGTCCAAGGTGGTTGGTGACATGTGTCTCTCTGAGGTGAGATGCCCTTTTCCACCACTGGTGATTGGTGTAGGATCTCATACTTTAGGGTATTTCTATTTGTCCTCCAGTTCCAAAAAGGTTTTTGAATATAAAACCCACCAGATTTCGGCACCACTTATGACCTTGCAGGAGCCTTTTAAATGGCTGCCAAAGGTTGAACAGCACCATCTAGTGCACTCTGTCCTGAATCCACCCATGCTGGAGGGACGCTGGCTCACACCCACACATCCCTGCCGTTGGAATGGATGCTGACAGCCCACCAGTGGTCACACCTCAGCACTGGGTCAGGCCAATCTTGCCTCGGGGGAGTCTGTGAGTCACTACAAAGAGGAGAATTCATTTGGGATGACCATTGTCAGTGCTGAAGCTGATCCAAGTGCTTGCAGCCTCTGCAGAAGTGATCCTGGAAGTCTTGTGGCTCCCAAGCCAACCTGGTAGGGAACTAATGGTGCTACAGAAAACACCCCTTTGCAGGGAGGCTCTGGAATTGCACCACACCAGTGCTGCCTGGATGCAGCCCAGACCTTCAACCCAGAGGCTGAGAGCAGTTCCTCTATCTCCAGCGTTTGCTGGCTCTTCCAGGCAGAAGGGAAGTGTACAGGATCCCACGGGACCAGCCTCAGCTGCAGGGTGACACCAGCAGTGCACCAAAACACTGCTGCCATTTCGGCTGTGGCAGTTTTGCGAAGGCTTAAGGCAGGGCCACGTGATTAGCTGAGGAAGAAGGGAGAAAGGACCAGGTGAAGAGAGAAATGACCAAGTTTGGTTCACCGGCCTCTATCCTTTGTGTAAAGATCTCGCAGGCTGATTCCTCTCCCACAGGCCAGGGGCACTCAGTTTAGTTTCTAACCTGTTTGATGTCCTTAGGTAAATCTGGAAGTAACTGATGTTGGTCCCTGTGCTTTGCCAAGCTCCTTGGCATGGGGAAACTGATGTGTAAAAGGCAGGGAAAGGGCTCCAGAGAGAGCCAGCCCACGGCTCTCCCATCCCCAAGCAGCCCTGCTAGAGGACCAGAAAACAGTGAGGCACTGGGAAGGCTTGGCATCATCCTGCAGGAATTCATCTCTTCCAGCCTACCAAGGGGCAGCTGCCTGGCTGCTTTTGCTGGAGCAGGGCAGCACTGGCTCTGCTTTCTCTGGGAGCAGGCACAGAGCAATCCTGTGCTGCTGGAAGGCCCTGCCAGCTGGTCTGGAGCCCCTCTGCCTCCCTGGTGTTCCTGCGGGTGGGATGAGTGCTGGCTACTCACCCTGGGCTGTGTCTCCTGAGCTGGGGGGGTCCAAGAGAGCCCCAGGCACTTTTCCCACTCCCCAAGTCCAGCCCAACCGAAGGAGCAGTAAGGAGAGGTTACAGGGAAGGATGTCAGCATGAGGGAGGGCATGTCAAGCCCAGCCCTTCACCCACCTGCATCCTGGTGGACCCAAACTCATCACCCACCCCCTCGGTTTCCCCTTTGCCACGGAGAAATCTGGCTCTGGTTTCTCATGTGATCTCAGTTTGGGCTGTGAATCTCTGCTGGGCCTTTCTCTGGGAGATGAAAAGCTCTCTAATACCTGATGGTCTCTCACCCATGAAGCGACTGAAGTGCTATAATGTCTCCAGGGCTCCTTTGAACTCGCTGGGGAGGTTGCGGGCCTCAGCCACTCCCCTGCAAAGCAGGGCTCACTTTTAACTCTCCTCCACCTTCTCCTAATTTCTCAGTATTCTCTCCAAAACGCAGATTCTGGAATCCTTCTGCTGTAGCACCCAGCCCTGACCCAGCCAGACATCCCCCGTGGGGAGCCTGCTGCTCCCGCCTCCTACACTCCCCCCAGTCCATCCTCGCCAGATCCCGGGTTTCCAGCAGAAGGGCCCTGTGCTCAGTGGACAGACTCTTTCACAGCTGCTTGCATTCAACCATGTTTTATTTGCCGGCGACTCAGCTTGTGAAGTTTTCTGCAGCTGCCTTGACCTCGTCCGTGTCTCCTGCCCCTCTCATTTCCCTCACCCCGGCGTTTTTCTCAGCAGGGCTTTTTAATCTATTTCTAGACCATTGATGGAAATACTGAATAGCACTGGGCTTCCCATCCAAGCCCGGACACCCACTGAGCGCGCTCCCATTCTGCAGGGATTCCCCATTGATGGCTGTCAGTTTGCCAGCTCCCAGCCCCTTTAAGGTGTCCCTCTTGATGTTGTATTGTGCTAATTTTTAATCAGAATAGTATATGGATTAAGTCACATGCCTGAACAGAGCCCAGGTCTATTATTTCTATGCCATAACCTTTATCAGCCAAACTTGTAATCTCTTCAAAGGATGACATCAGAGTTTGACAAGAGCTATTTTCTGGAAACTAGGCTGATTGCATTAATTATATTCCCATCCTTTAATTCTTTACCAGCTGAATCCCACATCAGCTTTTCTATTATTACGCTTGAGATCAGTATTGCACTGCTACATGTAAATCAGCTCCCAGCATCGTTCACATGAAAGGGTGTAAGGAGCCACATTGGCCTGCCGGGCTCTGCCGGGGTGGGATGGGGAGTGCCACTGCCCAGGGTGGATTTCTGTGCATTTCAGAAAGCTGGGAAAAAAAAATGCTACCGTTTCCAAAAGCGTTCTCAAAATGCATGGAGGCAGGCACGTGCAACAGTGTAATTGCATAAGAAAGCAGAAACCATCCCTGTTGGAAATCATTCTGAGTAATTTCTGATTTTTAAAGGAGTGTCTTGTGGCTTGTTTGCATGTTCAGCTTTTGAGATGGTACCTAGGGTCTGCCTGGCTTGGAGTCTATCGCTGCTTTCCAGGGAGGAAGTAGGCTTTGCGCTTCCCTGTTACTCTGCTCTCTTTTGATCTCTGCATCTGGAGATCCCCTTCTTCTCCCCGCAGTGTCCCCCGTCACTCTGGGACAGCAGCCTCAGAGCTGGGGCACCCTGCTCCCCATAACCAACCATCTCAGGTTGTGACATGCTCCCTAGTGCCGATGTGGGGAGTCTCCACATTGCGTGACCCGTTCCAGTCCATGCAGTGCCACCTCTTGGACAGTCCCTGATTTCTCCCTGCCGCGGAATTGTCCAGCTCAGAGAAGCAGGACACACTTTGCAGGTTTCAAACCAGCTGTAGTGGCTGGTGGAGGCAAGAGCGGCACCACGCTCCTCCATTCCCAGGCCCACGATGTGCGCTCCAAACCGGGCAGAGCTCGGGTGTGCCATGCCGTTCAACACGGACAGAGCAGTGGAGACTGGTGGTGCCTTGAGGGCTGATGCCTTTCCTGGGCCGAGCCCCTCGGCCAGGCCCTGGGGTCTCCCGAGTGTGACCCTCTCCGGGGCCATCCCTGCCCGGGATGCTCGCGGGGGCTCTGCGGGCTCCCCTCGGCCATGGCCAGCAAGAGCTCTGGAGCCGCTCAGCCCTTGGGGTGCCCGCCCAGCCAGAGCTCTGCGGGTCCCCAGCGCCCTGCCCGGCCCCTCGGCCATGTGCCGGGGCTCTGTCCGGAGCCCAGCCCGGCCCCTCGGCCATGTGCCGGGGCTCTGTCCGGAGCCCTGCCCGGCCCCACGGCCACGTGCCGGGGCTCTGCCCGGAGCCCAACCCGGCCCCTCGGCCATGTGCTGCGGCTCCCGGGGCCCGAGGCCTCCCCGGGCCGACACCTCCGTGCGGCTGCAGCGAGCGCGGGGCCCGCAGCCCCCCCGGGCCCCGCGCGTCCCCGCACCGCCTCCCCGGGCCGGGCCGGGCCCGCTCCGCCCCGCTCCGGCCGCCGGTCCCGCAGTACCGGGCGGGGGCGCGGGGGGCGCGGCTGAGCCGCCGTGCCGGGCTGGGAGGCAGCGGCGCAGGCGGAGCGGAGCGGGGCTCGGCTGCTGCTGCCGCCGCCGCCGCCGCTGCTGCTGCTCCCGATCGCTCCCCGCCGCCGCCAGCCCGCCCGCGGCCGAGGCCATGGGCGTCCCGAGCCGCCCGCTTTGTGCCGCCGCAGCCCCGCCGGGCCGCCGCCGCCGCTGAGCCGCATGGGCCGGGCCCCGCGCCGCCCCGGGCCGCCGCCGCCGCTCCGCGCGGGTGAGTGAGGCGGCCCCGGCCCAGGCCCTGCGCCGAGGCCGCGCCGAGGCCGCCGCGGGCGGGAGCGCGGGGCCGCGCCGGGGCCGCCGGGCCGGGCTAGGCCGCCCCGGGAGCGGGGGGCGGGCGGGTCGGGAGGGCGAGCGCGGCCGGGGGCGGTGGCGGCGGAGGCGCGGGGAGAGGCGCGGGCCGGGTCCCGCGAAGTTGCCCGGGGGGCGGCGGGGGCCCCGCGCGGCGCCCTGACAGCGGCGGGGCCGCCCCGCAGCGCGCCCGGCCCGGCGGCTGCCGCGGGGCGAACGGGGGGTCCCCGCCGGGACCCGGGAGGGCGGCTCGGCCGGGCGTCCTCCGGGAGGCTCCGCGGGGCTGCCCCGGCCGGGGCGAGGAGCCAGCGCGGCCCCGGCGCAACAATGCCCGGCGTGGCCGTGGGGCTGCGGGGCCGCTGCCCCGGGGGTCCCCGCCGCCCGGCCGGGGGTCTCCGGGGACCTGCGGCGCAGAGGTGGGGGCGAGCCCAGCGCTCGCCTCCAGAAACGGGGTGAAAACCATCCGACCCCGCGGCGTGGGGCCGGAGCCCCCCGCGTCCCGCGGTGCCAGGGCAGGGGTTTCGTGCTGGGGGGCTGGGGCCGGGGGCTCGGACGGCGCTGGCTCATTGCCGCGCTCCACACGGGGCCCAGCCGTCCTCACTGGCCGCCCCTGGGCTCGCTGGGTCGTTTCACGATGGACAGGTGGGCTGTAAGGGCTGGCACGGCATCGTCGGCGGTTCTCGGTTCAGCCGGGATGAGAAAATGGGAGGGAAATGGTATAGCATCCCAAAGACATGTTCCTTGAGGTGGGGTGAGCTTTGAGAGGGAGGGCGAGCTAAAATGTGTCTTTCCTGGTGTGTTTTCACATGCAATTGAGTTAATCCAGTGCAAGGAGTATTAATTTGTCAGGCAGCTGGTGCTCTGCAGTACTTGGGGCTTCGGCTGTTCTGTAGGACAAGAATTTTGCTACTGCCTTTAAATGATGAAGTTACCTTGTCGAGCAGCAGAAGTAGCAACCCAGGGATTACCCTTCCCTGCCTTCCTCTCCTTCCCCACACCTCCCATCCTCCATATTGACTCGTTGCTTTTCTTTAAAAACCTCGTACTTGATCGGGTTTCCTTCTCAAGGTGGTTTTCTCATCTTCCTTTGATGACCTGAAATTTTCCCAGGCTCGTAGCGTGCAATTTTGTTGGCGTTAAATGAACCTTTTCTCAACGGCTTGCCTACAAAAAGCAGTGCCAGGACTGAGCTCCTGTGCTAACATGCCCATCTGAAGCAAGAATGCAGTCCAGATGCCCAAAATATTAGGGTCAGCGATGCATCTGGATTCCCCTAGAGCTAGTCGAGGCGACGCGGCGTATTTCTGAAACGCAGAGATTTGTGAGGAATGTGGCGCTGGTATGTCACTTGAGCGTACGAAAGCCACCTGTGTTTGATTAAGGTGCAGTCCCGCTTCCAGGACTAGCTGGGTATTCTTTCCAAATAATTTTCACAAGCCTTAAATTCCTGTTCGGGGATGAGAATTTCCTAGATTTATAGCGAGATAAAAGCTGTGTTGCCTTAGTATCACCTGGTGCGTGTGCTGTGCAGAGGACTTGGTGGCAGTGCAGGAAGTGACATGTGTCCTGTGATACCTGAGTATGGATCTCTTGGATGTGGGGACTGCCACATCCCAGGGTCTAGTAAAACCACCGGTCTTGGGTAATGGGATTATGTTTTAGAGGAGCATCAGCTGTATCACTGATGCTGAATTCTGGATGTACGGTTTTGGATGTTCTGTAACTGTCATTTTTAGCCTGTGCCTGGTTCGAGCCCAGTTCTGCGCTCTTGGAAGTCACCAAGAGCTTTGCTGTTGATTCTGCTGAAAAAAAAGAGGTGTTAGTACAGTAATGGTGCAGTGATTTGTAATCTTAGAGTGTTTATTTCCAGTGATACTCGCTTATTTTTTTCTCCTCTGTTTCAGCCAAACAAACTTGTTTACCTTGGAGCTACAAATAGTGGTGATTTGAGATTTGAGCTCGTCCCCCGCTGCTCCCGCGCAAGCAAGGACCAGAAAAATGAATATCCAGGGGAAAGGCTTCCCCTTGGATCTCGGAGGAAGCTTCACTGAAGATGCTCCAAGACCACCAGTTCCTGGCGAGGAGGGGGAACTCGTGTCCACGGATCCAAGGCCAGTTAGCCATGGTTTCTACTCCGGTAAAAGTGACGTGGTTAGAAATGAGATGTCCACAGCAACACCGAGGCGCTCCGATTTGGATTTGGGGTACGAGCCCGAGGGGAGTGCTTCGCCAACTCCACCCTACCTGAAGTGGGCCGAGTCGCTGCACTCCTTGCTGGATGATCAAGATGGAATCAACCTCTTCAGGACTTTCCTGAAACAGGAGGACTGTGCAGATCTGCTGGACTTCTGGTTTGCCTGCAGCGGCTTCAGGAAGCTGGAGCCGTGTGTGTCTAACGAGGAAAAAAGACTCAAGCTGGCAAAAGCCATTTACAAAAAATACATCCTCGACAACAATGGCATCGTGTCCCGGCAGATCAAACCAGCCACAAAGAGCTTCATCAAAGACTGTGTCGTGAAACTGCAGATTGACCCCGACATGTTTGACCAGGCCCAAACGGAGATTCAGTGCATGATAGAAGACAATACCTACCCTTTGTTCCTTAAGTCAGATATTTATTTGGAATACACAAGGACAGGTGGGGAAAGTCCAAAAATTTATAGCGATCCGAGCTCAGGGTCTGGGACAGGTAAAGGACTACCTGGTTATCTGCCGACTCTGAACGAGGACGAGGAGTGGAAGTGTGACCAAGAGGCCGAGCCCGAGGCCAGCCGGGACTCGGCGCCTTCCAGCAGGCTCACGCAGAAGCTGCTCCTGGAGACGGCCACGCAACGCGCGGCCTCGGCTCGGCGCTACAGCGAGGGCAGGGAGTTCAGGTGGGTGAGCGCCGGGGCAGCTCGTGAACGGATTGGGGAGCCACCGTGGGGGTGGTGGGAAGCTTTGGAGGACCAGTGGTGATGGGGAGCATCCGCATCGGTGCGGGTTGGCGTTGCCGGGTGGTTCGATGGTGTGCAAAGCTTTGTTTGAAAGTAGTCGCAGGTTGTTTTAAAGGTGTCTCTGGCTGTTCCTGTCTGGTTGCGCCAGATCATCCCTGCAGCACTTTCCTCACCTGGAGGAACTGCTGCTGGATGTGGGCTGGAGGCAGGTAGTGCAGAGCCATGGGCAGCCCCCATGCACAAACAGGCAGCTGAGCCCTTACCTGCACAAGCAGAAGGTCAGTGCTCAGGTACTGTGATGTGGACAGGTACAGCTGGTGGTAACACTGCTCTGTGTAGAAATTGTTGTCATGAGCTCGAAGGAGATCCCTTGGTACTGTGGATGGGAGTTCACAGTGCATTCACGGTGCTCCCTGATAATGGTACTGCTTTGCAAATGAGATTCCCAGCACTGAATTATAGCGGTGTCAAACACAGAATCCCCAAATCCAGTTAAAACCATTCCCTGCTGCAACTTTTTTCCCTTCATGAAAGTAATTGGTGTTTTTTTTCAACTAGAGGACTTGCAGTTTTGCAGCCTATTTTTTTTTCTGGGTCCCCCACCCACTTCCAGCCAACATGGATTTTGAAACTTGCTGAGAGCTCAGTTAAAATTCCAGACAATTAACTTAGCAGGGAGCTCTCTGGGATCAATAAGCGTGTGTGTGTCTAACCCTTGCTGAATCAACAGAACCCGGCCAGAACACATTCCTACTTTCTTTTTTTTTTCCCCCCCTTTTTTTAAATAAAATCTCCTTGTTTTAAGACCTGCTTAGGCTAAAATCTGACGCTTTGTGAAGATTATGAAATGAAGTAGCTGAAGTGTCCTCTTCAAAGCCTCCTGCCTTATGAAAAGCATTTCTGTGTTTAATCTCCCCCGGCCATCCCTTTAGGCGGGCAGCTGGAAGCGCATCCCGCCCCGCGCGAGGTCTCGGTGCCTTTCGGTTGGCGAAATGTTCTCGGCTTGGTCCTTGTTTCCTTACAGATTTTGAGGAGGGTATGTTACACGTGAAACTCTTTGGGAGGGGGAAGAAAAAAAAAAAAAGAAGGGAATTCGCGCAGACTCCCGCTGTTTTAATCAGGAGTCAGAAAAAAAATATCCCAGTGTCTTGGGACTTTCCCATGGAGTGAATAAAAACTTCAGCATGTAGCGAAGTGCGTTTTCACTGAGTGGTTGGGTGCTCACCATAAATGAAGGATTAGAAAAGGCTACAACTTAAGTATCTTTTTATTTAAGCAGTAATGGTGTTAATATCGAAAATAACTTACTTGAGAGTCAGCAGTGTTTAGTTTCCTTATTACACCAGGTAGCAAATCCTGCATGCCACAGGATTTTAGCTGCAACTTAAGGCAAAAAGTGCACTTTACCCCTTAACATTATCTGTGCCAGATTGTAAAATGGTTTAAGGAAGGTGCTGTGAAATAAAAGTGTTTTGGAGTAGAGTTCATTGGTCCTGGGCATTTTCATACCAGATTGGAATAACACAAAACATAAATCTTTACCTGGGGGATGGAGGTCAGAGAAAATGTGTGGCTATTAATTTGTAGAGTCGGACAGCCTGTCATTGTGGCTACTGACACTCTACTGACCTGTGGGGTAGGGAGGCAAGGAAATGTTTACCATTCTCACCAGAGCAGGAGCACTTCTCAGCTTGGAATAGCTGAAGATAAGGGATTTATTTTATTTTTTAAATGTTGGTCTGTCAGCTCCAGTAGCATCCAGAGCCATCGCCATGGAAGGTGCTGCTGAACTGCATAATCTCTGCCTTTTTTATTCTAAAAACTGCTGAGATACTAATTTATGAGGTGATTGTTCCTCTTTGTGCAAGACCTTGTGGTTGAATTAACCTTCTTCTCGGATGTTGTATAGCAATAGTTGCCTTGAATAAGCTCATTTTTAAGCTGTAGCTTCTCTATCCTGCAGACTTCTTGTTCATTTACTTTCTCACCTGAGGAACTGTGCTGGAAGCTGGTGGAGCTGCTTGCAGCAGGAAGTGATGGTTGCGTGCAGCATTTGAAAAGCTGGGTCCCAATTTATTTTGAAAATTTCCACAAACCTCCTTTTTCTTTTTTTTGGCATATGTGTGGAAGAATTTCTCATTTCTGTTCTTTGGGGAATGTTGAAATAAGCTGTTTTGCATTATATCTCAGGGCCTGTTTAATCTTCCCAAGACTGAACTTCTATTCCTTGGCTTCCATGGAAACCCTAAATAAAGAGGAATCTAAGCAAATGCAGTAGAAGTATTTCCCTGTTAGCAAATGAGCATCTTGAATCAGCTCCAATTTTTTTTTTTTTTTTTTTTGCAGCAGAAAGTTCATAAATCTTGATGCGGTAGCTCTGCTCTCGGGAGAGCAAATGCAAAAAAATTCCTCAAAGGGCAGAAAGACAACCCATGATTAGCGTTGGGTGTTCCGAAGGTGTGCAAACGTGCAGGCACATCTGGGAACATCCCGAAGCCAAAAGCATCGCCGTTACCCACTGTGTTTTTGTGCGCGTCGGAAAAGGCCAATAGTCATTATAGTTCGGCTCCTGCAAATTAATTGGACATTGGTTATGGATCAGTGAACTTCAAAGAGAGTAACCCCCGAAGATCTCGGGCATTAACTCGCAGCTTCCGAAAGTGACACTAACGTGGTTGTGAGGGCGGCTAAATCGTTCATTAACCTTCTTCCGACACGCCGGGACGGCGTTCCTCGGAGCTGCAGAGCAGAAATTAAACCTGTGCCCGAGAGCTGCCCTGCAGCCTGGTTTTTGACTGCTCCACGAAAACGCACGCATCTTAAAGAGTTGGAAATTGGGTGTTTTGTGGTGAACGGTTGTGTCTTTTGTTGGGGTGGGTTTCTTCTGCTGTCTCTTTAGCTCTGCGCGTGGGAAGGCGCTCCCCTCCCACTCCCAAATTATTGGAGAGCAGCTCTCACAGCCATTGCCTTTGCTTTCTTCCCGTGGTGGGAAGTGAGAAGAGCATATGGTGTTACCTGCCAGCAGCTCTGTCTCCATCTCTCCTGAAAACAAAGAAAACTGGGAGATTTGAGTTAGTTCTACCAGTTGTTTTGGGTTTTGACCCATTTCATGAAGCACACGATGCATTGAAAAGGAAACCTGGGTGATGGTGATGAGAGGACACAGTGATGGGTGAAGTCTCCAGTTGCTTGGTTTTGAAGAGTGTTGTGGTCGAGCTGCTGGGCACGGATGGAGAAATTTCTCAACGGGGTCTTTGATATACACAGGGGGTTGGTTTTTTTAAAGGAAGCTGGCTCCAAGCTCTAATTTCCACAGCGCTGAGCTGACTAAGCTCACGGCATTTCACAAGTGTTGGTGGTTCAAATGGGAAGGGTGGGTGATGTGGTTCTCCACCAGGCCGGTAGAAATCACCAGGAGAGCCCTTGTGCCTGTGCCCACGCACTGGCAGCCTCTCCGGACGTGTGGGAGGGCAGCTCTCCCCAAAACACACAGCCAGCACTTCTTCATAACAGAGTATGAAGAGGAGGGCAGCGGGGAAGAGCTGATGGAGCTTTAGAGGGACGAGACAACCTCTGATGTGGGAGGATGCAGCGACAAACACGGCCGGAGAGGATCGGTGTAGGCTGGCTCAGGGATCTCCCCATGGCTTAGGCAGCATAAACGGTCCAGCGGTCAGAAGCTGGGGCTGCATCAGGAAGGAGCTGGCTGAAGTTTAGCTGGCAGCCCTAATTTTGAGGTTGGCTGCTTCGTTCATAATTAAATATTAAATTGCACACCTCTGACTCAAGACTGTGTGGTGAAGGAATTGTCGTTAATTGTACCGACCGGTTGGAAAACCGGGGATGCAAAACCAGGAATGCTGGTGCAGGAGCAGTCATGTTTAGAAAGTTTAAAGATGTGTTAATGGCCTTACTGATGCTTCTTTTAACTGGAGAGGCAGCACGTGCATCTTGGAGTTAGGCTGTTGGAGCTTCATGAGAGCAGGGAAAAAGCATCTTCCGGAATGTTAGACCCATATGCAAAGGCAGGAAGAAAAGTTTTGGATGCTTATCTTGAATTAAAATTGCTGGGCCTAGAGTATTATTTGTAATCAGTACAGCTCTATTTGGACTCCATGTAGAGCAGTGGCTATTTCCAATTTTAAAGAAAATAAGTTGCAGAAGAATAGTTTGGGTTCTGCATTGTTCTTGGAGAAATCAGTGAGTCCAGCAAGGAGGGGGTCTGATGCCAATAGCTCTAAGTGGTAATTTAGTGGCTGGGGCACTGTAAGATATACAAGACAGAGACTGATGGTGGTTTTGCACAGAAGTTAAGCCAGCTTTTTAAAATATGTTGTTAAGCTGATGAAACTTCTGTGTGGAAGTGCTTACATTACATTAACAGTGTAAAGTATTTATACTGACGGTTGCCAAGTTTTAAAATGGATTTTATTTGAAGAAGAATACCTTTTGTGCCCATAGCTTTGCCTCCACACAAATCAAGATGAAGAAGTGGTGTGTTTGTTGTTTGGTTATGGATCAGTGCTTTGGCTTCTTTTTAAAGACAGGTAGTTAAGCTTTTAGCACTCTCATTTGATAAATGAATAGTGTTTTCTCCCCTCCTCCAGCAAACAAAACCTTGTTTTGTTGTGATTTTTATTTGAGTTACAGAATATTTCCTCTTAAAAGCACAGAAGGGGGATTATATCCCCCTCCTTTTGGTGCTGGGGGGATTCAGGTTGGACATGGGGGAAAAAAGTCTTGGGAGCATGATGCAGTCCAGGAGCACATCACCAGAGGGGAGGGAATCTCTGTCCTTAGAAGGCTGAGTGGGTTGGACTGAGCCACGGCCTGACTGGTCCAGTGCTGGCGATGGTCCTGTTTTGTTGTGCACTTACAATGATGGCACAGATCATGAAATACTGTATTTTGAGTCTGACTGGTTTGGGTTCTGTCCAGTT